TGCATATGTGTGCATGTGTGTGTGAGAGAGCTCATCCACCTGCTCTCCGATTTATCTTACCTACCAATCTATTGATCTGTCTTTTCTCTTTAAAGCTGTAGTGCTCTCATCCACCTGCTGCTCACAAAACGTCGACATGTGATAAAATTTGTGACTTTTGGAAGCAAATATGGGAGATGATGCAGAAAATATTTATATATAAAATACCTTTTGGCCCAGAACCTTTTTAATTAGGAATATCGGATAATCAAATAAAATGTCAGCATGAAAAGATATGACAATAGCAGCATAAATGTGGTAAAATGAGGAAAGGGGAAACTAGATGGTTAAAGCATATGGGATGTTGGAAATTGATAAATTAACTATGTCCCCTTCTACACTGCCATATAATCCATATTATCAAATCAGATAATCCACATTATCTGTTTTGCATTGGATTTATTTATTTATTTATTGTGTCTGGAGCGAACCAAACAGTTGCATTGCATTAAAAACAAACAAACAAACAAAACACAAAATTTGCAAGCTTTGTATTGGATTATATGAGTCTACACTGCCATATAATCAAATTCAAAGAAGAAAGTCTGGGTTTTAGAAGGGGCCTATGTTGTGGAGGGTTAAAACAATCAGTGGTTTCATAAAAGACTGGGAATCCTTAATTAAATTTCTAAATGAGAATAGAGATAATATATCGTTTACAGTCAAAAAAAGAAAAAAATGAAATTTTATTTTACTAAGTTGGAGAGATAATAAATCAATAGGTAATAATGGGAATTAAAATTTAAAATGGATATAAGTGATTTTAATGTTTGTGTATATTTATGGTTTTATGCCCTGAGTCCCCTGTGGCGTGAGAAGGCCGGAATATAAATGTTTTAAATAAAATAATATATATATATATATATATATATATATATATATATATATTTTAAAAGTAAATACTCTTCTAGTAAGAAAGTGGAAAGTCACCACTTATTTTTTCCACTTAAATATTTTGTCAATTCATTGAAACAATATTTCTGTTGGTCAATTAAACATATTTGTTGTGAAATGTATATATACGGTTAAAGTATGTCAACTAAAGAAATATTTTTAAAATCTGGCAAATCCAGTCCCAGCAATATGTTCACTCATCTCCCACCACTGTAATTCCTCTGTCTTCAAAGTTAACATATCCCTCCACATTTGCAGCTTTGACTTGCAGATTTGATTATTCATGGATGTGACTAAAGCGTTTTTAGGATTCTCTGTGTCCTCCAGTCTGATTCTGTGGTCAACTCCACGTTGACCACAGAATCAGACTGGAGGACACAGAGATGCATCTCATGATACTCACCGTTTAAATCGTAATTGTTGGTAGTGTCTTTTCCCTGCCTGTCAAAACATTTTCACTTGTTCTTCAGTTTTCTACTTACCTAGTTTTCTTCTCCATCTTTTGACTGACATCAATTCAGTTCATGGCTACGTCCTTCATATTGCCTTAGGCCCTTTCTGCACTGCCATATAATTCAGATTTTTTTTCATGTCAGGAGCGACTTGAGAAACTGCAAGCCGCTTCTGGTGTGAGAAAATTGGCCGTCTGCAAGGACGTTGCTCAAGGGATGCCCAGATGTTTTACTATCCTGTTGGAGGCTTCTGTCATGTCCCCGCATGAGATGCTGGAGCTGACAGAAGGGAGCTCATCCCGCTCCCTGTATTTGAACTGCCAACCTTTCGGTCAGCGGTCCTGCCGGCACAAGGGTTTAACCCATTGCACCACCGGGGACTTTATAATCCAGGTTATCAAAGCAGATAATCCACAAGCTTGCAAACTTTGTGGTTTTTTTTGTTTATTTGTTTGTTAAAAATGCAATACAACTGTTTGGTTTGCTCCTGACACGATAAATAAATAAAATAAATCCACATTGTCTGCTTTGAACTGGATTATATGAGTCTACACTGTCATATAATCCATTTCAAAGCAGGCAGTTTGGATTTTATATGGCAGTGTAGAAGGGGCCCTTGACACTTCTGTTGTGCAATTTCCTCTTTTAAACAATAATCTAGTATTTTATATATAACTTCTTCCCTATTCTTTTTGGTGATAGTCCACAGATCAGGTCTGAAAACCATGCACCTCTCCAGATGCTATTGAACTGCAGCTCCCACTATTCTGACTATTGCTGACTATGGCTTCTGGGAGTTGCAGTTCGATAACATCAGGAGGGACATACAATTTCCACCTTTTGACATAGATACTACTCTACCGCCTTGTCGGAAATATCATTTTATGTTAATCCTTCTATCAAGTTCTGTTTGTACTTTGAACCTGATATGCTTTACCTTATCTTGTTTGTTCCACTGCTGCAATTCTGGTTAACACTACCCCAAAATCAGCTTCTCCTTATAATATTGTCTAAAATACCTGCAAAAAATCAAAAGCTTTGGTACACATAATTGTTTCTCTAAATCATGATCATGGTTATTATCTTATAAGCATCATCAATGTGCATTACAAGTAAAACAATACCAAATAATGGGTCTTGCCAAAGGTACTCTAAAATACATGTATATGCACACAGGCAAGAAGGAATGATAAAATATAAAACTATACAATTGTAAAACAAATAATACAGGTAAAATACAAAAAAGCAATATAATATTTAAAAGATTGTTCAGCAGAAAAGCAAATGTGCCATATTTTATCCATACTCATTCTAACAATACCTACAGGTCCAAAAGGTCCTTATTTTTAAAGGTATGACAACACAGATCTTCCACATGGAAATGAGTTATATTAAAACATTTAAGTATATAACGGAGCCTCCGGCGGTGCAGCGGGTTAAACTGCTGAGCTGCTGAACTTGCTGAATGAAAGGTTGGCAGTTTGAATCTGGGGAGCGGGGTGAGCTCCCGCTTTTAGGTCCAGCTTCTGCCAACCTAGCCGTTTGAAAACATGCAAATGTGAGTAGATCAATAGGTACTGCTTCTGTGGGAAGGTAACAGCGTTCATACAGTCATGCTGACCACATGACCTTGGAGGCGTCTATGGACAACGCCGGCTCATTGGTTTAGAAATGGAGATACCAACCCCCAGAGTCGGACACGACTAATGTCTTTACCTTTACTTAAGTATGTGACATCTAGGGCCCTTTTCAGTGTAACCAATATTCAAACCCCATGGGAATATTTAGATTGTAAAAGCCATGCTCATCTGAAAATGAGCTTCATAACCTTTTCTCTCTCTGTCTCTACTAAGGATCTTAATTTCTTCAGTGATAAACTGTTAAATTGCCAATCTCTTTGCATCTCTTTTTGCATCTCTCTTTGCATCTCTGTTTCCTACTTTTACATTCAGTTCTTCCTTTAGCCAGGCCCATTCTACACTGACATATAACCCAGATTATCAAAGGATATTATCCACATTTTCTGCTTTGATCTGGATTATATGAGTCTACATTGCCATATAATCCAGTTCAAAGCAGATAATTGGGATTTTATATGGCAGGATAGATGGGGCCTCGGTTTAAAAACTCATGCATTCTTTATTCATGGTTTCTCACTTTCACAGAAGTCTTGTATCTCTAACCTCAGTGGTTCCCAACCTTGTTTTGACCAGGGACCACTCTCCAACATTAGTACCAAAAGGGTTACGAATCAGTACTTGGTCAACTTTAGATTTGGTTTGGTTATTTGGGGTGCTGATTCAGAAAAGTGCATTGGCTAGACCATATCACATCTAGTTTCTCATACAGAACATATGCCATCCCATAGTCGCCATATGCTCGCCCAAAGAAAACCATATTTAACAAGCCTCAGCACTATAAGAGGGTTTCTCGAGACCAGTCGCTCTTGTTGCAATGGTGTCCATGGACCATATTTTAGTTCTTGCGGGCCACTGGTGGTCCATGGACCACAGGTTAGGAAACACTGCCCCAGAGAATGTGGAGGTCTGTCTATATAGGGAAATGCACTCCTTCCAGTTTCCTGGAACCAAATTGACAGGAGTTATAGGTCACATTCAGAATGTTGGCAACTAATGAGGTCATGACATCAAGATTTTTTTTATTCTGCCCATAACCAGCCATGATAAACAATGTGGGCAGCCGTGACTGGTGTTTGAAAAACCATGTTGATAATGTTTAGAATTTAAGCTTCCTGTTGATTATGCTTTTACCTGCAGTTTGTTTTGTATTTTTGTGCTTTTATTTTAATTGTTTGAAAATTCCACTTGGAACAGCAATTAAAAATGAATGAGAAACAGTATATACAGCTATGCAATCATATAAATGAATGTTTAGGTAAAGGTAAAGGTTTCCCCTTGCAATTAAGTCTAATCATGTCAGACTCTGGAGGTTAGTGATCATCTCCATTTCTTAGCTGAAGAACCGGAATTGTCCATAGACGCCTCCAAGGTCATGTGGCCAGCATGACTGCATGGCCTGCTATTACCTTCCCACTGAAGCAGTACCTATTGATCTAGTCATATTTGCATGTTTTCAAATGGCTGGGTTGGCAGAAGCTGGCCCTAACAGCGGAAGCTCACCCCGTCCCACGGATTCAAATGTTTTAATGACTGTTTTATTGCTCATTGATGTATTTTTTAATTTGATTTATGTCTAATTGTAGTGTATAATTGTAATTGTTTGTACTGGCATTGAATTTTTACCATTACTTATGTGTAAACCGCTTTGAGTCCCCCTTGGGGTGAGAAAAGCGGTATACAAATACTATAAATAAATAAAATAAATAACAAACTACTGACCTTCTAGTCAGAAAGTTCAGCAGCTCAGTGGTTTAACCAGCTGCGCTACCGTGGCCCCAGTAAATGAATGTTTACTGAAAACTAAATCCCAGAGTTTCATAGGGATTGCACCTGAAGTAGTCTGAGGATGTCAAGCTCTGTTAACCATTCGAGTTATTAGTCTGATTTTGATAAACTCAATACAAAATAAAAACAGCTAACCATGAACTTGCAAAATGTTATTAAGAAAGATCTGATTTTCTAAAAAAATTCCCCTAGTTCTGAAAGTGCCTGACAAGACAAAGAAGCTGCAGAGGAAGAGGTGATGCCATGGCAGCTATTCCAACACCACCACCACCCACAGGTGAGTATGGAATAGCTTCTGCAAGAGGGAAAAGCACGCATGCCATTGATCTTTGGGGTGTCTGGAAAGAATTGCAAACAGGAGATGTGAAAGGCATGTTTTTTCTGAAAACTGCTCCCAGCCTACACTTCCACTGGGAATATCAATGACTGGGAAATATAGCGAATTTCACATACATGGCAGTTTGTTAGCTTGATAACAGCATTGTCCAGCATCCTGGAAATGTCATAAAGAAGGCCAAAGTGCAGTTTCCAGACTCTTTATAGCACTGCTACACTGCAGCCAGCATAGTATTTTCATCCAGTGCTGGAAATGAATCGAGATGAAACAATAATATTTAGACTCTGCCCCATCTACACTGCAATATAATGCAGTGTGGACTAATATACTACAGTTTAACTAAAATGAAGGACATGATATGTCTACACCAGTGGTTCCCAACTTTTGGTCCTCCAGGTGTTTTGGACTTTAATTCCCACAATTCCTAATTGCTGGTAAAATGGCTGGGATTTCATAGAATCATAGAATCAAAGAGTTGGAAGAGACCTCATGGGCCATCCAGGCCAATCCCCTGCCAAGAAGCAGGAATATTGCATTCAAATCACCCCTGACAGATGGCCATACAGCTTCTGTTTAAAAGCTTCCAAAGAAGGAGCCTCCACCACACTCTGGGGCAGAGAGTTCCACTGCTGAACAGCTCTCACAGTCAGGAAGTTCTTCCTCATGTTCAACTCTCAGATTTCTGAGAGTTGAAGTCCAAAACACCTGGAGGACCAAAGGTTGGGAACCACTGGTCTGCACTGATCATATAATGGAGTTTCAAATTGCATTATTTGGCCATATAGGTGGGACTTCTGTCTCTAGAAGGCTCTTTCTTTTGCCTGTTTGGCTTCTTCCAAGGAAAATTGGGGCAAATGTCTGCCCTACGTTGCATGTGGCAAAAAGCTAGAACAATATGGTGAATTCAACATCACAGGTATGGGATTTTTTTTTTTTTGCACCTGATAGATATTCCTCCTTTGTTATAGGTTTCCTACAAATAAAAGCGAGACTTACATCAATGAGATGTCATTGACATTTTATTGTGATTTGAAGATCCAGTTATGGCTCATCCAAACCACTTTAGTCCTTTCTCCTGTTCTGGCTACACAATTTGCCACCAGGAAATCTTTAACAACACAAAGATTATGTTCTTCCATGTTTTGCTGTGTAGTTTAAAACATGAAGCCAGAATAAGCATCTTTTGACATTTCAAAAATATTGCTTTTCATGCTGTTTCCTCTCCTCACTAGTCATCTATCGCCTTCCTCATACTATAGAATGAATCCACTTTAAATCCGGTTTCTGCCTCCTGCAGAATTATGGGGTTTGTAGTTTAGGGATGCTGTTAAAGGCACCTTCCTAAACTACAAACCCCAGAATTCTGCAGGAGGCAGCAACCGGATTTAAAGTGGATCCATTCTCTAGTGTGATGAGGTCCTCATCACATTCATTTCAGGGGCGACTTAATATTGGCAAGAAATGTATCTTCTGTAAGGAAAGATGGGTCTATTTACTGGAGATAAATCTCATCAAAATGCTTAGGAACAGCAGTGGTGTGTAAGTATGTAGACATGATACACAGCGAGCTGAGAAACTGGTATTGAAGACCTCAAAGCAGAAGAAGAACAAAAGACATTGGGAAGCCAATTTGGAGTAGAACTAGAATGTCACACAGGGATTTTGGCTAGCCAGACAAATCTTTAGATTGCTGGCATAAAAAGGTAAAGGTCTCCCCTCGACATTAAGTCTAGTTGAATCTGACTCTGCAGAGTGGTGCTCATCTCCATTTCTAAGCCAAAGAGCCAGTGTTGCCCATAGACACCTCCTAGGTCATGTGGCCAACATGACTACATAGAGTGCCATTACCTTCCCGCCTGAGCGGTACCTATTGATCTACTCACACTTGCATGTTTTCAAACTGCTAGGATAGTAGAAGGTGAGGCTAACAACGGGAGCTCACCCTGCCCTGTGGGTTCAAACCGCTGACTTTCTGATCAGCAAGTTCAGCAGCTCAGCACTTTAAACCATTATGCCACCATGGCCCCTGTTGGCATATACATTATTGTTATTGTAGGCCCTGGAGCCTTCTGATAGGGTGGATAGGGCATAAATCAGGGATCCACAAACTTTTTAAGCAGAGGGCCAGGTCGCAGTACCTCAAACTGTTGGAGGGCCGGATTATAATTTGAAAAAAAATAATGAATGAATTCCAATACATACTGCACATATCTTATTTGTAGTGCAAAAAAAACAAAAAAACACCTTAAAACAATACAATAATTAAAATGAAGATCAATTTTAACAAATATAAACTTATTAGTATTTCAATGGGAAGTGTGGCCCTGCTTTTGGCTGATGAGATAGGGTTGTTGTTGTTGTGGTGGTGTGCTTTCAAGTCATTTCAGACTTAGGTTGATCCTGAGCAAGGGCCGGGTAAATGACCTTGGAGGGCTATATCCAGCCCCTGGACCTTAGTTTGAGGACCCCTGGCATAAATGAATATTTGTTAATCTTCAGTCAGATCCTGCTACTCCAAAAGACTTTTCATTAAGTAAAGAAAGGGAAGAAAAGTCAATGGGATGGGTAGGCGTCCGGGTTTCAGGGAACTGACCCAAGTCTGGGAAGACAGGCATTTGGCCAGAGTATTGAAAATCTCCAGTCTGGTCCTAAGATTCTTAAGTGCATAATCTATCCCTTGATGTCAGATATTCTTGCAAAGTGTTTGGCCCCAAGGGGATAGTGCCTGAATGCTGGCAAGTTTTGGAAATCTTTAGAAATGAGCTGCTGGCAGAACATTTGCTCCTGCTGGCAACTCATCTCTTGTTCATAATGAGATATTCACTGAGCCGGCCTGATTACCTAAGCCTTGAGAACGCTGTGGAACGATACTGTTAGACCTGTTCTCATCCTTGATCCTCCAAGCCAAATGCTGTAGTCTTTAATTGAGCAAATCTTCCATCAGCTTCAATGGCCCTTTTGACTCCGCCAACAATTTGGCTTCCTATGCCAGTTTCTTCATCAAGACTATTTGGCTGTAATTGTTTTAATGAAGGGACGGCCTCTCCTTGGGGGATCTTTCTGTTTATTTGTTTGTGTTGTTCCAATTGCTGCAGACCTCCCAAATACGATTTTGATTTTCCTCAGTGGCTCCCTGACTATAGAGTACATTGCCCGGTGAGATTAGACGAGCCCCTACTCTAGAAAGTTTTAAGAAGAACCTCAAAACCTGGCTCTTCCGCAGCGCTTTTGGAAATTAATCATATTATCCCATATTACGGTTATTCCTCAACATCTGTCTTTAGTGCATACCCCCTCCTCTTCTATACAAAGGTTCTTTTTCAACTCCATTTCTGAAAGTTTCTCCCCCACAAATAATTTGCTCCATTGCTGTCTCACCCCGTGTTTTAAGCCTTAGTATGCTGATCTGTACAGGCGGCCCACTCACTGTTCTATTTTATGTTATGAATGATTTTATTGTAATTTTATTTTTGTTTACTGTGTTCCTACATCTTATGTTCTATGTAATTTATCATGTTATTTGTGTTTAGATTTTATCTATTGTATTGCGTTGTTGGGCTTGGCCTTATGTAAGCCGCCCCGAGTCCCCATTGGGGAGATGGTGGCGGGGTACAAATAAAGTTTATTATTATTGTTATTGTTATTATTATTATTTGAAACACAGCAAGATGAGTCCACAGCAGACACTCTGCTGGCTGTTGTATTGGATCACACGTCAGACACTTCCCAAGTGTCTAGGACTGTGTGATGTATCGGCGGATAATGCGAGCAGATCCCAGTAAGGTGGCCTTTTGCAGCTGGCAGATGGTAATCTTGTCAGCGCCGATTGTGTTTAAGTGCAGGCCAAGGCACTGCACCCAGTGTGCCGATCACCACTGGGACAACCTTTACTGGTTTGTGCCAGAGTCTTTGCAGTTCGATTTTTAAATCCTCATATTGTGTGAGCTTTTCCAGTTGTTTCTCTGCAATCCTGTTGTCACCTGGGATTGTGACATCGACGATCCATACTTTGCTTTTTAACACGATTGTGAGGTCAGGAGTATTATCATTATCATTATTATTTTCAGGTTGAAGCATGCAATTGTCCACAATGCACAGCATGTTGTGGGCTATTCCTTGGATAATTCTAAAACTATCAAGTTTAATTCCACTCTTCCTCCATATCATTTGAAATGGTGCCTTACTCCAGTGTTGCGTTCATAATCCTCCTGCGGAGGGGGAAAATGATTGGCTCAGGATCTTGGCACAGTAGTTCAGTGGTTCGGCTTGCATTTGAAGGGGGATTTTCTTGACTCATTTCCAGTGCTCTGTTTGTATACAGCTCTGCCTTCAGATATCCCTGACACTCCACTCTCTTCTCTCATTCATAAACAAGAAATGTCGACCAGCCCCTTTATGAAGAAGATGAATGTGCCGACTTCACAAGATGACGTCAACGTAACTGTCATAGGAGGTACCAATATCCTTACTGACCTAAAGATATAAAGCAATCCAACACAGCCCCAATGCACTCATAAGATATCCATGGCATAGAAAATAGCACAGTTTGTTCAATCTTAACATCTGTAATTATAGTTTGTAGGTCGGGCTATATAGAACTCACTGTCAAGAAGAAGAACATCTAGTCCTTCTGACCTTAATAGACAACAATTTCCATCAACAGGGTTACCAAATTAGGAAACCAGCATATTCTAGTGCAGTGGTTCTGAACCTGTGGGTCCCCAGATGTTTTGGCCTTCAGCTCCCAGAAATCCTAACAGCTGGTAAACTGGCTGGGATTTCTGGGAGTTATAGGCCAAAACACTTGGGGACCAACAGGTTGAGAACCACCATTATTATTTATTATTATTATTTATTTGCGATATTTGTATACCGCCCTTCTCAACCCTGAAGGGGACTCAGGGCAGTTCACAGTATTGGCAATTCAATGCCATGGATAAAAACAGTATAAAACATTAAAATTGACCCTCCCCTAATAAAATATTATAGAGCACTGCTTCTTAAATGGTGTGTCCGACCCCAAATTGGGTCTCCTTTGCTCAAAAAAAAAAAAAATTGGCAATGGTAAAAAAAAAGGGTTTGGATCGCCACCTAGTGGCTGTTTTAAACATTTACACATTTAAACATTTACACAAATCTGTTGACAACAAAAACAAAAAATCAGCCTGTTTGGCAAGCCTTGCGAATGCTGATTTATTGTCAATAAATATTTGTTGAATATTTTTATATCTATTTTATATATTTTATATACCCATAAAAATACCTCGGGCTAAAGGGGCTCCTGATTGTTCTAGACAATGTTCCCCAAGTGCAGTTCACCTAAATGTCAGCAATGGGGGTGTCTTAGTTTCACAACCTAAAGAGCACACTAATACTGTGATAGGGCACAATCAACAGTACCAATCTCAGCATCATCTTGTAGGGCTATTGTGAAGGCATATATTTATGAGTCACATTTTTATCCTACCTTCCACTAAAAAGCAGTGCCCGTGGTGCCTTACAAATATAATGGGAAGCCGTTTGAAACTGTGCAGCTAAAAAATCCTTATAATAAACAAAACAGCCTGAATTGAAAAGGTGTGCTTTCAAAAACTCTGATGTCAACTGTTTTATTAATTGAAGCCCATTTGATAGACACGAGAGAACGATTCTGAAATGTCCTTTATTATTAATCATTAAGAGGCAGAATTGGTACAAATGCTGGTGTGACACCTACAAATACCCCATTCTTCCTTTTATTAGTACCAAGCAGTGTGCTTATATCAGTGCTAACTTTATTATCTATATAAATAAAAATGTAATGTTCATTTGTGGGATTAACATAATTCAAAAACCACGGGACAAATTGACACCAAAGTTGGACACAATACACCTATTAGGCCAACAAATGACCATCACTCATAAAAACACTGAAAAACACAATAGAAGAGACTTAAAAAGCCAAAAACAACAACAACAAAAACATTACAACGCATGCACAAAACCACTTATATACACATATACACAAATATGTACACAAATATATATACACACACATAAGACATATACACAGATTGGGCCACAGCAATGTGTGGCAGGAGATGGCTAGTTAAAAATAACTTTACATGTTATGATCTCCCACCCAGGGCAGTCATTACATTCACACCTTGACCCTAGTATTAATCACTCCTGACATCCAGTTAGGGGATCCAGTAGCTTTCAAACCATGTCTCAAACTGTTTAATGGCAACTGATTTGGGTTAAAGGGCTAGTGACGCTCTTGAAGACATAGTGTTATGTCGTGTTGAAATGCAATGATGTGGGGGTGGGGCTGCCGTATAGACAAACTAGAGTAAATATGGTTGGCATGCTACATCTCTTTCAAATCAGTGTAGACTGAAGTTTCATTTCCCCCCTTTTTTAAAAGCTGTCATTGCTGTGGTTTTCATCACTCTCTGTTCGGTTGTTGTGCTGATCGTCATCTACCTGTACAAGAACAAAGGCAGTTACCACACCTATGAGCGCCCTGAAGCAGATCCAGAGGGCTCTGTCCAGATGGAAGACCTGTCTTGTAAAGGCGAAAAGGAAGAATATTTTATATAAAAGGACGCCAGGCTGCCAGTACATTTTGGACACTAGGATATTAAGTAAAGAGCTTATTTATTTCATGTTGTTTTATATCACATCTTAGCCTGAGTTAGGAGCTCAAGCTTAACCAGGGGTTATAGATTATGATGGACCCTGAAATGTTCAAAGGTTAGATTAATGTGTAAATATCATAGATGACAGAGGTGGGGAAGATGTGGCCTTCCAGTATGATTGGATTACAGTTCCCATCATCCATCACCCTTGGCTATGCTGCCTAGTGTTATTGAGACATAGTCCAACGTGTATGGAAGACCACATGGATTACAGTTCCCATCATCCATCACCCTTGGCTATGCTGCCTAGGGTTGTTGTGGCACATAATCCAATATGTATGAAAGGCCACATGGATTAGTTCCCATCATCCATCACCCTTGGCTATGCTGCCTAGGGTTGTTGTGGCACATAGTCCAACATGCATGGAAGGCCACATGGATTACAGTTCCCATCATCCGTGACTCTTGGCTATGCTGCCTAGGCTTGTTGTGGCACGTAGTCCAACATGTATGGAAGGCCACATGCTCCCCATGCCTGATCTACAGCCTCAACTACCCTCCAGCTTGTTTATTTGGGGTTAGACATGTTAATCTGAATACTGATACTTACTTCCTTGTTCTTGCAGTAGAATTGTCACATGGGTGTGAGAATACAAGAGGGACGGTCGGGCTGAATGACAAGCTATTTCCAGCACCTGTAACAAAAATGTAGTTTGTCTTTTCCCAGAATGCATAGCCTATGCATAGGCTTCCCTGGAGTTTTCCATCCAGCAGTATTAAATATTCACACACCCGTGAAACTGAAATACACATTTAGTGTCATTTGAAACTGTCCAGTTGGTTAGTCTGTTCCATGTGTTGAATTCTATAGTCATCCCAGGACTGGAATAAACAGGTTTCTTGTTTTAGTCTAAATATTCTTGTGCCATCTTTTTTTATTAGTGGTTTCTCCGCTTTTCATTGATGACTACTTCTTGCATTCGACTACAGCAAGAGACACAATTTGTGGGCAGCTAATCCTTGAGTTTCTGATGAACTACTGCAGTTCATGTAGCTCCCGACACCATCAAACTCCTTCTTCAAATACTGTCATGCCCCAAAGCCTGTAGAGCAGTGGTTCTCAACCTGTGGGTCCCCAGGTGTTTTGGCCTTCAACTCCCAGAAATCCCAGCCTATTTACCAGCTGTTAGGATTTCTGGGAGTTGAAGGGCAAAACATCTGGGGACCCACAGGTTGAAAACCACTGCTAGAGTATGAACTGTAAAAGGCAATCTTTGCTTATTTTTGTTCCCATCTTATGAAACATACAAAGATTTTTAAGATTTTTTCTTCCCTTGTGTAAATACATAACTAATATGGCATAATCCTGGTCTCAAAGGGAGCATTTCTCCATTCTTGCTCCATACCATACTGTATAATCCAACCACAAAGAAATCTTGGTGTCTTGGTGTTTAGGCCTCTTCCTGGGGTTATTTGGGGAGCTGATTTAGAAAATTGCATTGGATAGACCCTATCAGCTCTAGCTTTTTAGGCATGGTTATCGTTTTCTATGGGTGAGCAAATGGTCATTGGTATATGGCATATGTTCTGTATCTCAAAACCTAGACTGATCAGGGGAAACTGGTGCCATTTTTGGAATCAGCAAGTCAAACATACCCAGAAATAGGCCTAACATTTGGGGTGCCAAAATATATGTTGGTCAGTGTTATTAGTGGTCAGGATATGCACAGGCAGGAAGCAGACAGGCTTTGAAGCTTCAAGACTCTTCAATGCTAATCAAGATTGTCAACTGCAATAATCACACTTTCCTCAAGTAGATTAATATATCTGGACATTCCAGATATATAAATCCCACTTGCCCAGTTTCCAACAGACCTCACAACCTCTGAGATTGCATGCCATAGATGTGGGTGAAACGTCAGGAGAGAATGTTTCTGGAACATGGCCATACAGCCCGGAAAACTCACAGCAACCCAGTGATTCCAGCCATGAAAGCCTTCAACACAATGCACAGAATTCTGCACTGGCTTGCTGCTTCCTGTTTTCTGTTTCCACAGTTGTTTATTTTACCCGTTTTATTTAAAATTCAGTTGTTACAGTGTTTTATTACAGGAAAGCATCTGTTGACATCAGGTCATGGGATGGACTTTGACATTTTACAAAAAGGGAGAGAAGTATTTAATATAGGAATGCCATTTTGGGAAACTAGTAGTACTTTGATATTCAACATAGGGCCCTTCCACACAGGCCTATATCCCAGAATATTAAGGCAGAAAATCCCACATTATCTGAGTATGATCTTAGATAACCCAGTTCAAAGCAGATATTCTGGGATACAGGGTTGTGTGGAAAGGCCCTCAATTGTTCCAAAAGGGAAGTGGAATGAAATAAGTGTGTACTTCCAAGTCAAAATGCTCAGGGCTACAAAGAACCAAGCAGAAAGGTCTATTGCTTATATTGCAAAGAAGCCTATTATTATTTTTTAAATGAATAGCTGTCACAATTAATAGCTTCAAATAAATTTTCATTGGAATTGCGGTGTGTGGAGAGGCTTAATTTTTCCCACCCTCACTCCAATCTCAATTAGCAGTATTCTCCCATGGTTTCACAATGACAAACACCACCAAAACAAAGAAGTGAGATAAAAAAGCAAAACAAAATTGTGAAACTTATGTTATGACAGACAGGAATTTAAGAGGCTAAATTCAACTTTGTCACTTTATTCAAATTTTCAAAATAGCCTTTATTCTACTTGTTTTAGTATAAAAAGTCCACAAGTTAAGTGCACCACAGTGTTCACAGAGAGACCTAGAATTTCCAACCTTTCATTAACAGTCAGCTGTATGGTGGACCATGACACATACAAAACACAGAAAATTAAGATAAAATATATTCACCAGATCTGATAATTTTTTTAATTCATAAAAACAAAAAGCAACAACAACAACAACAAAAAGATTGAAGATCCCTGAAATATTCTTCTTGATCCTAATAAGACTTCATTGTACCCAAGTCATTTTTTAAAAAGTTTTAATCTATTAAAAAAAAGAAAAAGAACAAAACCCAAAAAAGACCTCCATCAAATCCAAACTTGCACACTGAATAACATCCCACAGGCGTTCCTGTCTCTCTAGCCTGAATAACATTCCGTACAGAGTTTTGTTATCAAGACACCGGGTCGCTCAATTCCCCCCACCCCCACCCCTTTTTAAAAAACTGTTTCATTTTAAGCTTTTTAATTATTATTTTTTAAACGTACAGGAAGCATTTAATGAAATGTTGTGTTTCTGGCACCAAAACATGGCTTCAGCTAGATTCTTAATGTGCAAAGGAGTCCCAAGATCACTTTAAGAGTGTATAAAAAGAACATCCCAGGGCAACGCTCTGAACTGCATACCTTCCTAGTAAAGGAGCAGGAGAGCAAAGGTGAGCGGATGGGGCTGATGGCAGAAAGAACTGTACCCCACTCGTCTAACAGGGCATCCATCATGGGTGCCTCTGCCCCTGAAAACAAAATATCTATGTGTGTGGCTACCTTTCTCCTCAGCACCATTGATTCTATGGAAGAGGAAAGACGATGCATTCTCTTATTCCTATTCATTGGTAAAAGGTTTATCTGCAAGCTTTTTATATGTTTGATACTCGGAAGCCAGGTTTTCTTTCAACCTTCCATTTCTGCCCCTCCCCCCAACCCTTTCCCATGCCCCACCCCCACATACCTGGTTTTCATATATATTTATATATAGTTTATCAATAAAAGCGAAAGAGAAAGAGGAGAATGATGCAGTCTCTAGCACTCTCCAGTGAAATTAAAGGGAAACTCATGGGTTGGCTTAGCTCATATTCATTTCAAAATTTAACCCCCAAAGATTTAAGAGAGGCACTCCTACCACTGCATGGTTTTGTATTTAAAGTTTGCTCCTTGTTTTTTTAAAATTTTTAAAAGAAAAAGTGCCTGAAGGGTCAGGGCACCAGGAAGACACCCCGCATCATCATGTGTCTAAACTGCAACTCCAGGTTAATACGACTAAAGCGGTTACATTGTGAGAAGTGCTGACAGTATGTGATGTCGTTCCTTTACACCAATGTAGCCCCCCTGTCCTTCACCAGATGGTGTAGCCACCGTCCGAGCCCCCCATGAAGAAGTTGCCCTTGCGTTGCGTCACTAGCACATTGGCGCCCTGCATGACAGCCAGCTGGGCTGCGTTCGGAGGGCAGCCAGGAGGAGGGGGCTGGAAGGCAAGAAAAAGAAAGGGTTAGTAGGGCAAGGCTGGGTGGCAGCATCTGCAAGACAAAGGCTGTGCCCAGTTCTGGGCATCTCAAGTCAAGGGCAATATTGACAAAGTGGAACAATGACCAAGGAAGGTCAAAGGTCTGGAAGCAAAGTCCTGTGAGGAGCGGTTCAGGGAGCTAGACGTTTTCAGCTTGGGAAAGAGCAGGAGGCATGATATCCATGTTTAAATATTTGAAAAGATAATACATTGAGACAGCAAGCTTGTTTACAGCTGCTCTAGAGACTAGGGGCTCTTCCACACAGCCAAATAACCCAGAATATCAAGGGAGAAAATCCCACAATATCTGCTTTGAACTGGGTTATCTGAGTCCACTCTGCCATATATTGCAGTTCAAAGCAGATAATGTGGGATTTTATTCAGCTGTGTGCAAGGGGCCTAGGACACAAAGCAAAGGAAAGGGATTCCACGTAAACCAGACATGGGCAAATTTTGACCCTCTGGGAGTTTTGGACTCCAACTCCCACAATTCCTAACAGCCTACCGGCTGTTAGGAATTGTGGGAGTTGAAGCTCAAAACACCTGGAAAGCTGAAGTTTGCCAATGCCTGAAAAGCATTCTGAGGGCAAGAGCTGTTTGGCAGTGAACTCTGCTGCCTCAAAACATGGTGGAGTCTCTTCTGAAAGTTTTTAAACAGAAGCTGGATGGCTCTCTGTTGGGAGTGCTTTGTGTTTTCCTGAGTGGCAGAAGTTGGACTGGATGGCCCTTGGAGTCTCTTCCAACTCTATGAAATTTGCAGCTCCCAGACAGCACATGAGCTACCAGGTTGAGCTCCGAAAGCATAGTTTAACAAATATTCAATGTGATGCATTAGCTTGCACTGCAAGGGACATGCCATACAGTAGGAGCATATTCTAGGCAAGGAAATTGCCTATGTTACAAGTAAACCATGCACACAATTGAACCTACAAAGCTGCCAAGGCCAAATCTGACCCATCATGTTATTTTGTGTGACCCATGAGGCTTTCAATGTCAGGACAACATAGTTACATTTTACAGTCTTACAATTACAAATGGCCCTCTGAAGATCACCATAAGGCTGATAAGGCCTTTAGTGAAAAATATAGCTTGACACCTCTGACCGAGTAGCATCACCACCACCATCTTTTTATTTATACTCCACTAATCTAGACTGGAACTAAGGCAGCTCATAAATTCAAAAGGTTACAAAAATTATCTTAAAATCGAATTAAACTATGAACAGTATTAAAACAATTTAAGTATGTGTGCTTAAAATGATAAAAGCAATTTAAAACAATTGTGTTCACAACAATGTCATATCCTATTAAAAGCCTTTCCTCAAAAAACTTCAATTTCTACAAACTTGGCAGAGAAGGAAAAGGTCTGCGTCTGCTGATGGAAGCAAAATAAGGAGGGAGACATTTCAGTCTCACTGAGGAGTGAGTCCAGGAGCCTAGGAACAGCTGCCAAGAGGACCCTGTATTGTGTACACATCAACCTTCCCTACAAGGGTGGTGGGACTGAAAGAAAGCCTCTACCGAGAATTATAGGGTCTAAAGCCCCTTCCACACAGCTGAATAAAATCCCACATTATCTGCTTTGAACTGGGATATATGGCAGTGTGGACTCAACCCAGTTCAAAGCAGATATTGTGTGTTTTTC